GGTTGTGAGATACCAATTCCGTGCTCCAACGCTGCATCATAGCTGCAAATGACTGGGCTAGAGATGCTGTGGGATATTGCAAAAGCTTCTATGACTCATGATGGGTGGAAATGGTGAAAGGAGTCCAAAAAAGATATTTACATAATCATTTAAAGCTCCCGTATACTGCTAGCCACCTTCAGCTTTCGTGAGACAAAGAGAGACATATAACAGGACTACCATATTGTTCTAGAGCAAAATAATCCTTCACGAAAAAGGGTTTCCGTGCGTAAGCTAACTGGAAACAAGATAAAGCGTGAATAGTCTTTTATAATCAGTCTATTAAGAAAAAATTAACTAAACAGCCAGTATGTTGAATAAAGCCATGCATAAACAAGAATAGTATCAAACACACTAAGAACAGAATGGAATTTGCGTAAGTTAGTTGGTGAAGACCAGTTTACTAGTGACGACAGCCTTTCAGGATCGGATATGAAACAATTGAGACCGCGGCATTAGAATTTAGTACTAGCAGAGATAAAGTAAACTGCTTGATGCGTTTAAGTAAGGGCAGGAGATAGAAGTTACACTTCGATTTGTCGCAAATGAGTTTTCAAGCAATGGTATTCAAAGTGCCCTGATAGGTAAGATATTGAACCTGTACTTTCCGGAAAGTGTATTAATCACGGTTAGATCACTGGAAAATTCGTCTAATTTTTCACAAGGTTAGGTATCCATCAGAGCTATTTCGGAGCTAAATCTAAAGGCGAAGGAGCGCTAAGACACATTTTCATATACGTGCTACAGCAACCGAGTGTTTAAAGGTAATGCATAGTTTTCCATATTTTGGTGTCATCACAATTGAATTCACCTGGAGTAATAGCAAAGCAGTCCGATTTAAGAAATCTAAAATTCTAAAATTGCTTTTGGGATAAACACCCCTCCGGTGGTCCGTGAGCAGTTAGGCATTAAACACTACAAATCATGCGTTCTTACAGCTGTCATTTGCTTAATGTCACAGTGCAGTGGATGTAAGACATTGACCCAGGGAATAGAAGGTCCAAAACTTTGCTTTGCTACCTTCAATCATCTACTGTACCGAAACCTTTCTCTGTAAGCAATCAGTATACTTTAGTGACTGGTGCGCTGTCTACGGGAATAAAGAATCCTCGCACAATGCGGTATTCCTGTTTATCTGCGTCTCTCCTCACCTCACGAAAGCTGGGCGTGGTTTTTTAAAATTCGATCAGATGCCTTAGCAGTATACTGGACTAGTATAGAAAACTTACAATGAAGTGTTTCTTTCAATGAATGTTTAATGAAAATGTCCCACTTCAGTAAGTTAATTTTGAGTTTTAAACTATTAAAGCTACTTTAGTCGTTTGTTAGTCTCTGTTTGTTTGATGTAAGGATTTACCTAGAATGATCTCATGACATGGGTAGAAATTATATTCATAAGTCTCTTAGAAGAACTTTTTGGGGAGTTTTCATATACGATATTTGTCACAAAGGAATAAACGATCATAGGCTTAAAAACAACTCCTAATTTCCCTTTTTAAGGGTAATAAAATTTGCGATAAATTGCTGAGATACTTCAAAGTTATGCCGATTCATTTCAATTTTATTTCAGTCTGGCTAGAACTTCGAAATTCAACAAGACTGTTATACTTCAATATAATGGGGAATTCAATTTAACTATCTCCAACGGAACTTGACCTCGACAAAAACATTATTGCATTGAATAAAAACAAATTCACTCTCTTTCCTGTACAGTTCACAAATCTAACATCAAGCACACATTAAAATCAACACGAAGCAAAGCAAAAAATTTTCTCACATAGATTTGTAATGTTTATCTTTTATAGTAGATTTGTGTGATTTAGAAGAAGTAGGAATAGAGGCCCTGAATGAGATGGGAATTAGGGATTGACAAAGGTGACGAAGATGTAACGAATGCCACTCGTGGTCTCCATGCCCTCGTGCAGGTGAGTCAGTCGGCCGGGGAAGATGAGTGGCCAACCCACGCGGGTGTCCACGAGTTTGCAACCATAACGAAGGAAATGCACACCGCCACCCTCATAATCGACATGAGCTCGATTGAGGGCCATGTCCAGGGTGTAGGTGGAGGCATCGTGATGGAATCGGAGAGAAGCCTGTTCACCGGGCTTGTAGCGCACAACAAAGTTCATTCTTGCCCATGGCTTAAAAAAGAACGGTACAGTCTGTCGTTTAGCGTAAGGAAATAGAAATGACAAGTGCACTCAAGAATCCAAAATACCTACCTTTTCGTTATATCCTTCCCATAGTTTCAGTTGAATAGGATACACATAGGTGCGAAGTACGTGGAGCCAATGCTCTTCCCAATCAATCTGGCGCATATGGATATCGCGAGTTGGGACGGCCTCGTAGCCACTCTCTAGACGAGCGTCATAGTTGGAGCCGTCAGACCACTTGCCATAGTGTTCCATTTCTTCCACCAACTGTCGACAAAAGAGCTCAGACATCAGAGGCATCCAGAAGACGTCTTGGCATGGCTGCTCAAAGTCGTCCTTCGTGATGGATTTATTAGTGAACTTGTAGTAGTCGGGGTGAATGTAGGATTCCTCCCAGTCCTGCAAAGGTATGCAAGTGCAAACAATTGAATGTTTACTTAATCCATTCATTTTTTTAACTGTCTATCGGAAAACAGACTTTCTGAGTTAATGCTTCGTGCAGTATTGTTAAGTAAGTAACTGATTGGTCTAAACACTTAGGGATCTTCCTTCATTTTGGGTAGGTAAGTACTTCTTGATATTTTGGCTAGAATTTAACTCTGTTCAATAGAGTGATTACTTGTTTGTGGAATGAATACTTACAACAGGATTGTCGAAGAGTTGCCACAAATCGTTGTGTAGGTGAACGAGGCCAAAGGTAGTGGGATTGGTGAGACGACCAAATTGAACGCGGTTATCGACATACATAAAGACGTTCTGTAAGGAAAATACAAATTTAATTACAAATAAGACAGATAGGCAGCTTCAAACAAACTTTTTTGGTTGTTGTAGAGGTGAGGGACAGATAAAAGAATTGCTCCTCGATAAAGTCGCTTGTGATTTCCGACAACGCCCATCGACTCAACAGGAAAGTGGATCCAACCAACGGAACGTTCCACAAACCCCTTTAAAATAAATGAAACTTATGACTTAATAACTCTTAACAGAAACATGCTCAGAATTCCTTCGTTACAATATTATAAACGAATAATTGAGAAATATCATCATGCAGCTACATTACATTATACACCAGCCTTGATTTTTATGAGCGATATTTAATACAATTTTAAATTTGGTAGGGAAAAATTACTAGCAAGGTAGTCCACAGCAGCGTCATTAAAACTACTCAGGAATAAAGTCTTCTTCCTTCAAATGTCAGAAGATTTTGAACACTTGTTATGCGATGATGCAACTCACCGTTTGCGACGTTCAACAATTTCAAAGTAATCATTGGATCGTTTGTATGACCCATCATCAGCGATATCTCCCCAGAAAGTTGACCAGAAGGCATTGTGACGAGTCATAAGAGGAGCCACTACACTACGATTGGTTGACACGAGATGTTTGAGTGTTCCTGGCCACGTAAACTGGGCAGTTCCCTCAGCATAGAAGAGGTTCTGGCATTCGGGCCTTTCGAGACACATATTTCTACAGCGATTAAGAGGAAAGACATTTATAAGGATTATTTTTAACCTTCAAATTTAAGAAAAAATAATGTCCAATACACACTTACGCTACGTGCAGGAATACCTTATCTTGTTCCTTGTACAAGTCGGAACCAATTTCTTCAACTGATCGGTAGTGTGAACCATGTTTGTCCAGAAAGTCGTCGACAAACTTTTGTTGTTCCGGTATCTAAAATTGAATGAGGGGCCATTGGGGTTCGGCAGAATCTCGCTTCAGCGCATTACACAGAGGGCAGTATGTTCAACTTACTGCGCAGAAGGTTATAAGATGAATGTGGCTCTTGGGATAATCGAGATTCGCTAGGCGCTTGAAAAAAGATTCGAGGAATGGAGTTGGACGGACGATGAAGACGCCAAGCATCACTACTGGATAGTCATCAGCCTAAAGAAGTGAAATGGGAACGTTGCTTTATTCCTACACATAAATATGGAGCTCTTCTTATTTAGCTACCAGTAAATGGGATTACATTACTTTAAAAAAAAGAGATATTTGTTGAAGCTACATAAGTAAATAAATTGAGATTCACTATAGGGGAAGGGAAAATGATTGTTGTAGTTAGTCCAAACGTGATGTAGGGCAGATACTAAAGTAAAACATTCAGTTATTTGGAGTAAATTTTAATCACGACAATCTAAATACATGAACCGTCCAATTTTCTGCATTACCTGAAGTTTCTCAAGGTCAATTCTGTCTTCATCACAAATTTGACATCCGGTTTCAGGAGACCAAGAACGTGTCAGATAATTGCTCACTCCATTTAGTTCCCTCTAAAAGGTGTTAAATAAGTAGTACATCTCAAGCACATCTATTTGTCTTAAGATTTAATTAAGCAGAAAAAGTGATATTTTCTTATTTTTGGTACCATGCTTATAGCAACGTCATTATACAGTATTGTGGAAATGGGTACTTGGGTGATTATCAATAAATCTGTATTTATTCTAACCGTTAAGACAGGAATTCCTATCTACCGTGGCAGAACGCCCATTTGCAGGCATCTGCGTGCCACGTAAGCAAGCTGGCCAGCGTTATAAGGCAGCACCACGTGTCCTGGGGGCAAGATGTGCCACGTCGGTGATTCGTGGCACCCTCCCAAGGTCACCGCAATGCATTTGCTAGTGCCCATGCCTTAGGACACAGATGACCAACGGAAGTTGAGTGCACACTCACCTCCTAATTTAATATCTACATGAACGTAGTGCATAAAGACTCTCAACCTTATGCTCCTTACCTTTGATACATGATCGTTCGCAGCCACGGCAACTACGGGTACTGTATCAGTGCGAACGTTTTGGATATAGCCTCGGTCGTGTTCAAAACGAATGTTTAGATCTGCTGAAGGAAAATAAATACCTTATATGTGTATTGCAGGAAGACATAGCATGGGGGAATTGTGTAGTTTCCCTGCTTACCAGCATCTGTGGTAATTTGCTGAAAGAAATTGGACGATGTGTCCATTAAAACGGAGGCTGATTGCTAAAATGAATAGATAAGACTGTGCCGTTTATTTTGTGCATTTTTGACGTCACTGGAATGAATTTATCCAAAACTTACTTTTTCGATTCCTTCTAAGTAAGACTTAACATAGTCTTTGTTAAGCATTGGTGGGGGTCTTGGAATGGCTTCATGAAGCAGTTTGGTGCGTGTGAAGAGGCCATAGAACATGGCTTCAGGCTTGGGTTTTTCATCTGCGCTTGCGGAGTCCTGTCAGCATTAAACATATTTCAAATTAAAAAGCGCTGAATGCAGAGGTTTGCAAGTCGAATAAAATATTTGTTAATTGTGAATCTCTTGCTTAGCATTCACTACATATTTTTTTTCATTGACGTCTAATAGCGAAAAAAATCGGATAGTTTTCTTATGTGGAATTTTTTGGAACGGAACATGTGAATGAACTAAACAATTGCCTATGACTTAAATCCACTTTGTGTGGGAGTCAAAAACGAACGAAAATTTACCCCGGCAATGAAGATGTAGTCAGCTCTAAGATTTTCAGCTGTTTGAATAAGATCGTTCGGTCGCCCAATGAGAATTGATAAGTGGCTGTAAAGCGGAATGAGAAGGATATGCTTTAAGCCATATTCGAATATAAAATTTGAAAAAAACAATAATCCTAGCCGTTCGCACAACTGCAAATCACGTGCTGTTCACCTGTCAATAATGAGCACATATTCACTGTCGCTGTTTTCAACTGCCTGTTTAACTTTGGCCAGTTTCACTTCGTCTTTCACCTCATCGGGCGTGCGACCAAAGTCGGAGAGGTCGATTTCCGTGTAGTAGTAGCCAAACACATCAGCAGAACGCTTGCACCGTTCACTCGCATCATCAGGTGCTCCTCTCAGGCCTATCACTTGTAGGGCTGTAGTAAGGTAATTTAGACCAAGTTAGCACACATCATCAATAGCTCTATCGCCTCAAAGCCATTGTGATTTATCAAACTGTAATTCTTTTAAAGGATAGTAATGAATACCGTTATTTTTTGCCTGAAGGGGATGTGATCAAGACTTTCTAAAAATTGGTCAGTCAGACTACAGTTGTGAAAAAGGTCCTATGGCTCCAACCAAATCTTTCTTGAATGAGCAGTTGTGACGCAAAAAGTGGAGCAACCTAGAAACGACAGTTCTTTGCATTATAAAATAGGCGTTTACATGGAACCAATACCAGCAATGACACCCAAATCAACGATATCATTGAAATTTATGAAAACTAAGGCAACTCATTAATAGTGATATTTGAACAAAACGTTCCTAATACATTTGGGTCATAGTTGTGTGAACCATGGGTTGAATCGTTTTAAGTGACATCAGTGCAGCCACTTTTGAGTAAATCATATCCAAGAGAGTTGCATTTCATGCGCCTTCTATTATACTCTGCAGTAGGTGCCCGATTTAAGCAAACTTCGATTAATAGTGTACAAACTGATATCATACAGATTAAAACGGAAACAATTAATGAAGCAACTGCGCCAAAATTATTTATCGGTTTTCACAGTATTTTTTAATAAAATTGATTTAAAATGCTTTATAATAGTAAAAATGGAGAAGATTATTTGACATTTTTAACTTCAAAACAACCTCCTTCTGAGGTTATCGGAAGAACTCGCTGTTTAAAGAGAAAAATTGAGAAAAATTGACACAGAGCACTTAATGTAACGAAGTTTAGTACGTAACATTGCCGGCAAGAAAAATACGCATTGACCAACCGGGAGCCGAGAGAGTGGAGGTCACGCACAGCATGCTGACTAATAGGGAGACCGGTGTGACCATGGCGTTGGATCAGTTGGGACAGCGGTGCGATAGCAATGCTTATATGCCCTGTCGTCAGGTGGGAGGTGCCAATTGGTTGCGCTTCCATTCCCTCACCTTTAAACCTCGCACGCTTATTGGTCGGTGAGCTGGGAATACCGCGTCACCGGCGCCCTGGATGATGACCCTTGCACTTCGGTGCAAATTTGAATGCTCCGGCTATTAACCATAGTTTTGTATCTAAAGTGTACATTTTTTTGCAGTTCCAACTTCTCAAATAAGAGATCAGAAACTCATTGCAAAGTCCTTGTGGCTGATTTATAAAATCAAAAGACCTGATGGCGTTTGTAATGAAACTAAACCTCTGAGGAAACGATGGCATAGCGTACTCCCAGGTTTCAGGTCTCAGTAGCTATTTCAATTAATTGGATCAGACATTAAGCGCACATTGCAGCTACTTCAAACTATGTGAGTTCGGTGTGCTACTTCTTGGTAATTTATGTGGTTTCCGTTGTCCCATACTAAGACCCCCTCTTTATCAGGTTATTTTTAGGCAAGCACCTATTTTAAATCCAAAAAAAGGTTTTTCCAGGAATTTTTCGAAACGTTAGGCTCAGTTAGCACAACTTGCTGTTACTTCTTGCTAATGAAGCATTACCAGAGGACATTGCAAGACTGACGTCATAAGAGTAGAAGATAGTTTACAATTTCTCAAATGCTGACTGAGGATGATGGCGGTGTCACCATTTCTAATAGTAATGTAAGTTCTCAACACTGAGTAACTGTTAGGCTCATTTAATCACGTTTAGGCAGTTTCCTCATGATAAGAGATATTTTTGAAGGCACCTAACAGATTTCATTAACTAACCTAGTTTAGAAAAATTGTTTCAACCAAATTAAATGTGCATTTATAAACCACCTTACTTAAAAATAATTATTAAAGTGTTGTACTTAGTCATTGAGTGGATTAGTGATTCTGAAGGAGGTAATATCGTTGGAATGTCTTCGAGCCTAAAATTAGCAAGTGCATTTAGATTGAATAAACCGCTCGTGTTTTAGTTGACAAATCATGCGGCTAAGCTACCCATTTCTGGAAATATACAAAAACAACTTTTTTTACATCCCGTAGCTCATTTAAGGTTGAAAGAAGTTTTAATCTGGAAGTTTTCTCGATTAAAGTGCTGGCTGAAGTTTTATCGGTGCTTAAAAAGCGGAAAAGCAATTTTTAACCATCATACTCAGTGGTATTAATTAGGACTCATTCAGCGCACAGAGCTAAAAATATATATATATATATCAAAAGTTTGGATGACTGAATAACTATTCTATCACCTCAACTGTTTCAGAGCACTTCAATGGGAAACGTTTGAGTTTGCAAGGGTAAATGAAGACTTGAATGTAAATCTAGCAGGAGTGAGCTGTGCATTACTTAAGGCGAAAATGGACCCAAAAATGGTTTAAAAAGCAACCCAAAGAGCAATTTCACACGTGCTAAATGGTATACCTCTTTGGGTACATTTAAGCTGGCAAACACAACCCAGCTCGCATTCATAATTACGAGTTCACTTTTGGGCGTCAGTCCGGGACACCGAAAATCAAGAGGGTATTTAACTGGTTTCATTATCATTATCCAGGCTGTTATCTCAAAGATTTTGGGCATGTATGCAAGATAGCAAATAAGTGGATAAGTTTACCGCAAAATATAAATGTACTTGGGGCGCTCCGTGGAAAACCTTAACCAACTAAGGCCTTGGAAATAAAGGCAAGTCAAAGGTTATCCACTGCCCAAAGTGCTTAATCTAGACACTTTCCATGATCCTCAAAACTGCCAGTATATTTCAGCAGGTTTTAAAACGCATTTGTAGCCAGAGAAGCACATTTATCTCAGTGCTAAAGGAGGAAGCAAATCCAAAGTCTAGATGGGACTACTTTATTGATATAATTTAAAACTGGGGCAACAAATTCATATCTGCTAAAAGTGAAATGTTTTTGAAAAGCACTACAAATTTATAAAAAATGCAACCTCATTTCAAAATAATAGATTAACACCTGAAAAAGTGGTACCCTTTGCATTCACGTTTCATGATTGGCAAAATCTGCATAGAACCTCAGGTAATTTGCAGTCACCGCTTTATTACAGGTCTGCCAAATTGGCAAACTGCTCGCAAAATCCGAGTCCTGCACCCTCCATATGCAGTACGTACGGTACACAGCTTCCTCACTTCATTGAATTATGCCTTCGTTACGCGACTTCCAGGACGCATGAAGTTTGCCTCGTTCACCTTCCTGCCAATTACAGGGAAACATCAACCATTGAGCTTACAGTGCTATTCATTCCTTGGTCTCATCTCGCTACGAGTGCAAGAGAGCACGGTGGTAAATGCGTGAATAGGTATACTGTCGGGACAACATTAGTACACCCTGCTGCACATGTGTAAGTGTGACAAGTAGTTGTCAGGTGATACTGTACTCTGTTTCTACTTCGACCATTTATTTTTGAAGGATAATGTGTTAGACTGACTTTAAAGCGAAATTAAAGTGTCTCGGGAGCAAGAATGGGACCCTGCTTAGATGTCAAATCCTTGAACTGCTAAATTAGCGGCATTTTTAGTAATAAAATCACACATTTTTTAAAAAAAGTTCTTCTGGTTGCTAATTGTTACAATCGGGTGTAAAAATATGAATATATTGTAGATAAATTCTTTATTGTATTTAAGTGTTTTAAACTTCCAACCGCCCTATTCCATTAAGTGTGCATTTCTCAGAACGTTTCTCGGTGTCTAGTTTGTTGCTGATTGGGAGTACTGTTTCACGTCTCCTGTTGGTACTCTGCGGTTAATTATTCGCACATGTACCGTATTGTGGGTTGGTGACGGGCATTTCAAACTATCAAGATTCATTTTGAGACCTATTGTAAGTCAGTAAAGGTCCACCTATTTTTTCTCCTTAAAAATTTTCTTATAGGTGACCTCTTAGTTACTGTTCTTTGTTTGGCCACCAGTCTCTTTTCGTTTAAGAGTTTGAGCTGTGCTATTTTAGTCATTGTTTTTCAGTGATCGTTTAGGCTTTTTCTAAATTGTCTCATCTCTCGTAGTCGACCACTTATTCATGATCTGCTATTATTTAGCTTCCAATGTTCGTTTCGAAAAGCGTACACAGCAACCATGCTGACCTTATCCATGATGTCGCGTATGACTATTACGGTCAAAGGATGGCGACTTGCAGCAGTGATCAAATGATTAAAGTTAGTTCGCATCGATTCATCCTATCTGCTTATGGTTTCGTGCTTGTGGTCTCGCCTAGTCTCATTTTAATCCATCAACTTTATCACTTGTAATGGGCGGCCTTATTTTTGTCTTTCTTAAATGCAGATCTGGGACCTTCGCGATGACCAAGAATGGGAGTGTACCGCTAGGTGGAGATACCATTTGGGTTCGGTGTGGCGTGTGTGTTGGGCGCATCCCGAATTCGGGCAGATCATCGCTACTTGCTCATTCGACAGAACCATTGCCATTTGGGAGGAAATCACTGGACAGGTGCGTTGCGGCACTAGAATTGGTGTTCTCATATCATGCAAGTAAATTGGCAAGCTCTCTGTGCTTGGGCAGTTTTTTGTTGCATTTATGGAATTCTTCTGTTCGCTCTCCATATAATCTCGAGTAAGTCGATAAGATGGTACGAGTGTCACTTGCGACTACCTAGTCCTAACTTTTAGCCTTCGTTAAGCTGGGGTGATAGTCTATCATTAGGCCTATACTTTTTTTGTACATCAGCAAGTCGCAAATATGGCAAGTGTTTGTGAGAATATAAGCCTTTTTCATTCGCTTACCATGTGAATATACGGTAGGATTTACAGTGGCGTTTATCTAGTTTCAACTGTTGGTCAGCATTGTTTAAGTGCGAGTACATCAATTTCAAATATCTTCATGTAAATGACAGGAGGTCGTAAATACGGCGAGTGCGGATGGAGATGCGTCGGCATCGACGCCAGCGGCAGGTGCAAATGCTGCAGATAGTGGCGACAATCAACAGGCCACTGCAACGAATCCCACCAGCACCTCTAACACCCGCGGGGGCGTGTGGATCCGTCGGGCGCACCTGGTGGATCCGCGCAACTCCGTCACCGGCTTGATGTTTGCACCGCGCTTTCTCGGTCTTCAACTGGCTGCCATTTCAACTGATGGTGTGCTTCTGGTCTACGAAGCCCAAGTTAGCTCTCAATTCTCATCTTCACGCTGTCAAAATGGCGCTTCACAAATTACATGTCAATCATTTACGCGAATTTCCACTTAAATATTTTAATCCAATAATGAAATTAAAATATATAAGCTTAGCGGGATTTCTTTTACATACAAAATATTTTCAGGGGAGCAGCTTGATCACTTTTTTACAACTAAAGCTTATTGGTGCTACTAAACTATTGGAATTATGGGTAATTTCGTTTGCGTTTTACTCTTGCAGGATGTTATGAATTTATGTCAGTGGACCGTTCAATGTGACTTCGCCACCAACACGACCGGCTCCTGTTTGGCCTGGTCTCAGGTAAGTCTTGTATTTCACTTTCCAATGTCTAGCCTCTCTAGTAAAGGAAATTGGGATCGTAGCCCATTTTAGATCCGGTCAGCTTTGTAGATGGGTGTTCTTAGGTCATGCGGTGTTCTATTGGTCAGCGAATCGAACGATAAATCAAGAAAATCCTCGCCGTTGATTGAGCATCTTTAATGTGAATGTTGCCGTTATCATAATGACATGTAAATTCCGCTCTCACTTCCGTGCCAGAAAACGTTATTCGACTATTGAGATGAGCATAGACTATTATAAAAACTTTTTGAAGCGCTTTCTTTTTTGGTAAATGGGTGAATAAGCAGATGCTCACGTTCTCGCGGGTCTTACGTGATAATATTTGATCTGGTCATAGTGGTCCTTTTATCAGAACCTGACTCCTTCATTATCCTTGAAGCAATCTCCGTTTATACCTGATTTATTTTTTGCAGTTTAAACGAAGTTATCTAAAAAGTACGAGAAATGTCTTCGGTGTAAATGACTGTCAATTTCCTATGAGCTAAACGTACCTTTTTCGACTCCAGTCACGATTAGATCCACCACTTATTGCGGTGGGGAGTGCCTCGCTCCATGAAAATCAGCACCAGGGTGATTTGGGAGAGTTGGGCACTTGTCACTTGGCTGTTCGGGGGTCGGATGTCAACCCCAGACATGGAAAATTGATCCTTCTCGAATACAACGAGAGTTCTCGTCGCTGGAACCTGGTTCAGGATATAGTCGATATCAAGGACTCCGTCTACGATGTTGCCTTTGCACCCAGCATGGGACAGTCCTATCAAGTTCTTGCTGTCGGCTCTGAAATCCTCTTCATCCTCCTCATCAAGTTTGTCGCCGCTCCACAAGTTGGTCAGTCACTGAATATGTTTTTACTCATTACTTTGTAAGTAACAGTCTATTCCAGCGGCAATATTTTTAGCGGAGAATGGTGTCAACACACCAGGTGCTTACAATGTCTCCGTGATGGCCCGTTTCGAGAATCATGGTGGTCGTGTTTCGCGAGTCGCCTGGAATTATCAAGGTAAAGTGGTTTGCTTCTGGGGAGATTATTGGGTTTCACTCTTGGTTTTCCGTAGTTTTTATTGTTTTAGGACTTGCCGATATTTATGTGGAACTACAAATATCTCCTTCATGCTTGATGCATGGACTGAGCTTTAGCATAAACTAAACATAAATTTCACAGAGAAGCGAATGTCAGAAGACTTTATATTAGGCCGTGCTGTTTATAATGTCTATGATTACTTACCTTAGCTAGTAAACGCCACTCGAGTTTGAGCTAGGGACCATTTCCAAGTTAAAAATCCACTGATATCGGGTACGTTCTCTCTCCGAATTTGCTAGAGTTGCACTGCACTTTTTGAATCGTACACAATGGACTAGTGTGAGTTCATCAAGATTGAAATCACATCGGGAGAAATGTTTAATCGTTTCCCTTAAACTTTCAAATGGAAGGCCATCAATGAAGGGTCGTAATGTTGCGTTTAGTGACGCAAAGTTATCAAAAAATGTTAAATTCTCGCGAAATTTCACTTATTTATGCACATTGGAACATCTGAATTCATTCCCAAGTGGCAAAGGGTAACTAGTGCAAACAGCAAAACTCGTTTTAGATTGCGGTTCACAATTTTTGCTTTCTTCCTACTTCCATTTACCATGTTCTTTTCTCTCAATAATCTCCAAAATAAGTTCAGACCCCTGCACCTTCTTCCTTCCTCCTCCCTTCCCCCTCTCCCCCATGGAATTTTGCAGGGAACTCACAAAATGGACTCGCGCGTTAATAATGCAAGCTGCCGTCGCCTACCAGTTGTAATGTCAGAGGCGCACACGCAACACGCTCGCTCGCCCTCTTGTGTCCTTCCTTAGCTATGCACCAGGGCGTGAGTAGCGGCCCACACTGTCCACGTTTTGATGAAGTGCACATGTGCATGCATACAAATAGGGAGGGAAGTTACAGAGGGTGGAGACAGGGCCTCCCGTTATTTACTACTCGTGGATATCGCCCACTTTGTAGGTGTGTGTGGGCGCATGCGTGCAACTATGTGCCCACTGCCGTGCGTATCTTCTCCTAAAGATACTTCTTCTTTTTGCTTCTGTTTTTGTTGTGACCGTGCATATTTGATGTCCTCTGCGCCCATATGGGTGGCCGAGTGGGTGGGCGGATTCAATAATTTCTTGTTCGTTGTTTCAGTGGAGGCTCCTTTAACAGATCTCTTTCAAATGCAAGATTCATCTCTACCGTTGGACCGATTCTATGCTTTTTGCTGACTGTTTCCACTCTTAATTGATTTATTTTGGATATTAAAACCCAGTTGGCCCTTGCGAAAAGGTAGTACAAATTAAATTGTTACTTATTGCGTGCTTCGGAATCTACCTTTTGCATTCATCTTCGAAATTTATTATTCTCTCAACTTCCTTCTAGAAGGGGTCAAGTTTTACCACCCTTTGTGCTTACTATGTAGCACCTAACTTCGCAAAGAGGTTGAGGTTTCTGATATAGGCGAAACTCACCTACAATTTCACACCTCCATCAACTTCAGTATCTTACTTTTGCAATGGGAGTGGAGGGACGGGAGGGCAGAAGTTTACTTTGTTATGCATGCACGCAAACTCTAATTCACACAACCCCTTTTGTTGGTCGTATTTGTGCACTAGCCAACTGTGCCACATCTCCGTGTGTGGGAAAAGGAGCATGTATCCGACGCATTCCTTCGCATAAAAGAGAATTCATAACACTGTAGTTTAGTAAATTTGACTTTAGTCTTTCACAAAACGAAAAAAGCCCAAATTTTAACGATTTCATGTTGTCTGGGTTATTTTTTCATCAATCGTCTTTGAGGCTGATTATGCACTCTCCGGCTTTGATTTGATGCCGGCTATCCAGATGAATCCGGTTTATGGACTTTTTTTCAAGTCATTTTTTTCGTGACTAGTGTGCGGCGTGTAGTCTTCCTCTGTGAAATACAGTCACCCAAACGCCTTAGCAACGACAATTTCACGATTGACGCAGTACATACATAGGTCTGCGTTGTGAGATTTAACAGCGCTGGTACAGCAGCTTGATGAGCGGCCTGCAAATTCCCCTTCACTTGTAGCTGAGTGTTATTGCCTTTGTCGGCCCCATATAGAGCCCTCGTAAAACGCTCCTTCTGAATGCTGCTATTGGCTCCGATTTCTGGAAAGTGGCACCTGTGCGGGTGGTCATCGGGTTGACTGTGATTTGCTTCCATTTGGCGGCATGCTTACTCCCGTGTTTTCCCTATGTTTAGTTGTATTCCTGAAATAATCTCTGTGCAGGTGTTGCCTCACGCCTTGGGTGGTCGTCGTTTAAGGTAAAACGGTGTTGTTTTATTTCTTTTAACATCGCGCAAATAGTACTTCCGAGGGATCGGTGTAAACTTGGCTTGTTACGGGGATCAGTAAATTTCTTTTATTCCAAGTAAGATTCCAAAAACATTTTCTTAAGTATTCTACTTACAGTTTATGCAAATCGTACATTGCTCCTGTAAAGATTTCCTCAAAAAGTACCGATCTCAGTCTTATGCGAACGCATTCATTTTCGTGTGACAACTAACAGTAGATTGCTCAAAATTCATCATGACTACTCTCGGAACGAAAGGAAGAAGCGAGTTGAGACTTACTATTTTCTGCGCTGACTCGCTTTTCAGGAAACATATTGGCCTCCGCTGGAGACGACGGAACAGTGCGTCTCTGGTGTTCTAACTACCTGAAAGCTTGGTTCCCTCTTGCCGTCATTTGTCCTGGTGAGATCAGTCTGCCCACACCACCATCGCACCTCAGCGCCACCTCGGCTATGGCTGCAATGGATCGACAGTCCCATAGCTTCTCGAGTGGCGCTACCGCTGCCGCAGCTGCTACCACCGTTGGCGCTATTACTGCTCCTCACGTCTCCTCCTCCTCTTCGCTCTATCCCCGCGACTCCGTCTCCACCAACATCACTGAGCCTCCGTCCGGTGGCTTGCTTGCTGCTGCCACGTCAGACATCTCTGTAGCGTCTATCGCTTCTACTGGTAAGCCAACTTGGTGGATAGATTGTCCACTTTGTGGCTAGAAATGATATAGTTCGTGTCAATCTACGCTATGTCCTATTTCCTCTATTACTGACGCCGTCCTGTTAATAACTTTTTTCCTGTACTCTCATTCTTGACCCATTACGTTCATGAATCGTAAATAGCATGCTTTAAGAGGCCATTTTCTTCTAACAGTTCCGCTAACCTTGCGAAACTTCGATGCAGGTATTTTGCATGCATAAATGAAAAGGGAATGTAATCGGCTCGCTTAAATAGCACTACTTATGACTAACTGGCTTCTCGCATAATCACATCTAGACAATTTCTTCATTTTATTGCTTTAATTCATAACTCAATTATTCTCAGCAAGACTAATAACCTTTGTTTAATGATTTTGTTTTTTGTTTGCTACTTGAAATCTTTGTGTTTTCTAGCTTTGGGGTTGAACCGTTCCTAAAGGTAGGTGCCAGCCTCTACCCACCACAGCCTATTAAGCTCACTGTTCTCTCTTCACTCTTCATGTTCGCGTGCAATGTTAGTTGTTTGAAATGTCGGAATATTGCTATCGGCCCCTCTGCTTTGTTTGCTGGTTACCACTCCCGTACAGATTGGACGAGTCTTGTTGCACGGATGAAATGTGATATCCCATCATGCCCGATTGTTGAAACGATGTGCTCCTGGTAAACGTCGTTGTTCATTCTCGCAAAGCGCTTCTTGTGCATTGTTGTTCGATATTTTTGGAGTTTAGTGTTTAATTGCCTATATTTAAAAGTTCTCCAATTTTTCTTTCATGAGATGTACCCGCTATTTTTTGCGACAGTAATCACAAATTGGTTTTTTACACTGCTACATTGTTGGCTGATTTACCCGTGGCCGATTTCATGCGTTTTCGTCAGGCGTGATTCGTGTTGTTACAACCTCTGATGTCAGGCGCAGTTTTTCTTGTCTAATCATATTACAGATCTACACCTTATGTTGCTGACTCGGCGTTGATACCGCTTTCAAAATTAGCACTGCAGTGCTCGAATCAGCTTCCCCATGCTCCTAAATGACCCACATCATCCTATGCTTAGTTTCCATTTCGTTGGGGACTAAGCTTTGAACTCATTCGAGTCTATCATGTGGTAAGGTATCATTCAATAGCTTTTTTTAATTTTGTTGAAGCTTTAGCCTGGCCCCTTACCCTAACCTGAAAATCAGCTTGCAGTCAGTTGACTTGGCTTTCGTATATGGAAGAGAATTGGCAATTTTCTCTACTCATCCGCACAAATGCTACACTTGCGCTTTTTGATCATAGATTCCTTATCGCAGCTGTCAGTTCAATGCCGATATGCCAAATTTTCTCACTTTTTCAAGGCTCGTACTTAGCACCCTACTGCTTTTTGTCTACGGCTATGTGATTTACTTTGAGAATTTTAATCATTACTGAAGCCTTAAATTTCCGCGCTTTCCTTCCTCCCTTAATTACGATCTAAATCTACGCCCCACATCACAAGCCACGATTTCCTTCGATAATAATAACGTTATAATCGTGTTTTGCTGACTTTAATGAGCCTCGGTTGACTTTGCTGTCAAATTTGGATCAGCGTTTATTTTCATTTAATTCATTCATGAGTGCTGACCGGGTCAAAAATCATTGATAATAATTTATTTCTGATACAGGAATACCTTTTTCACACGTTGGGGAAAGGATATCTACTCTACTGGCGGTTCGGCTTCTCAGATTTAGAGCGAACCAGTACCTGATTGCTTTCGGGTCCCCTAAAAATGGGTTGTGTAAAACTCCCGCTTTTAACTAACGCGTATTAGTGCATTCTTTTCATTATCGCTGAAAACGACGATGTCCATCTAGCTCATAATGAAGATGCAAAATTCATGTTCACATCGCTGGTGATAGAAGCAGCGTGTTATCGCCACTTTTGGACAATTTTCGATAAGTCATACGAGGAACAGTGGACGACCGATAAAGAACATCCAGTGGTATGACATCAAAGAATGTACGCGCGGTACCGCAGCATTTGAGCACCTGGCCTATTTTGACCTTTCTTCAACAGCAGTGGTAGTAATGATTATAGCTGTGGGCTAAGCGTCGGTGTACGAGACACGCGGGCTTCAGTTGTTTTACTGTTCTGTGGGCTCTGTCAAGAAATCTGGCAAAATTATTCGTACAATTTTGTGATGAATAGCACCTCACCTCGTTTTCACCTGTCACTCTCACTCTCACTTCTTTATTCTCGCTGACGTCCCACAAATGCTCACACGTGAGTCGCCCCATCTCATCCCGTTTACTTGTAATATTTTCATTTCTCGCCTGTGCTTTGAGACTTTCGTGGTTACATGAGTGTGTATTTTTGCTCAAATAGAATGGTCTCTTGTTTGCGGCCGTTTTTAGCAAATTTCTTTCGTATATTAGTAACGTAAGGACTCTACTTTAGTATAGCCCTAATCGGAGTCTTTTGTTGTGTAAACCATCTCACCTCAGCCATATTTGAGGCAAGTAGACTCGAGTGCTCTCAAACACCGAAACAGTCACATCGATAAATTGTACAAACTCCTATTCTCGGGTCACATTATCGTATGGCACAGTTAATCTTCTATATCGTCATGCGAAGGTCAACTTTTTGTACATTTTAAGAATTATGTTCCATTTTTTTTTTATCTATGATATTTACTAAAATCTATTCAATCGCTCTTCCCCAATAAATATCCTAGCTAGTGGAAGTATATGTATTTTTTGTGGAAAAATGATGCCGGTGCTGAATTCTTCTGCGGGTTTCGACCCGACTTTGTGGCCTCAACCGTGTTTTTTCTTCCGAGTATGGTCAACGGTTCACTGTTTACCCTTTTGCAGGAACCGCGAAACCAGTTAGATTCACAAAAAGCGGCAGCGTGGTGTATGCGCGCAATCAAGTTGTCTGGCACTGAGTGCCGATATCTCTCGTGTTCCTTTTTTCCCAACCTCGTGGAAATTGCTATTTTTTATATGCATTTTCACTAATAAAGTGAAGACAATTGCAGATCTGTTTCAATCGTTTTATGTGCAAAACGTCTAGGTTCTCGGTATTGCTTCACTTCTTGCCTGTCAATCGACTGAGACTCATAGGCACCACTATCTTATTAGGCGGGATTTCACAAACTATTTGTAAATGTAGGAATAGACTGTAAGGCACGGGCAGTTAACGGTTCTTGTAATCTATGCGTTTAACTTCTAGTCATAAGTAGTAGCGATTGGCTGGTGGGTTAATATCTATTGTTGTCAAGCACAACGGAAGGTTTAAACAATCTGGAAGGTGGCAACAACCTACGAATACCCATAAGGGCCAACTAGTGTTGCATGCGTGCAGTTCCCCATTGTTGTGGTAGTGAAATGGGAAAGAGGAACCAACACCATCTATCTAGGTGGTGCCAGGTGTCCCTATTAGATATTATCTGTGTTTGTGGGGTCGGTCTTTGCCTAGCTTATCCTTTAATTGAAGGGGTTGTGTAGATTTGAAATGGGGAATAAAAATCTCGTGAAAACAGAATGAAGGTCACTTCCCACTAGTGTCCGCGTGCGAGGGTGCGATCCCACCGTCAGTGAGCCTTTATTAGACCATTCGGATCTTAACGCATACCTTCCAGCAAAGTTGCACTACATTTGTGCATGAAACCGGCTATGGTTATTTTCAAGTTGGGACTAAGTGGTCACTGAGAAATGGCATACCTCACAAATCAGCTTATAGATGTGTTTGCCCTCCCCTTATGCTCTTTCGGCTCAAGCCAAACATACGCTTGACAAGGACAGCGCATGATGGAAGCTTAACCGATTTCGCCCTTAACCAGCACCACTTCATCAAGGGATATCAGATACAGTGAAAAAGCACTTCCCCTTAATAAAGTCAAGCGTCTCCTCTGCAGGCATCACTACCTGACGGGAATTCAGCTCAAGTTCTAACAATATGCTATTGTCTTATTTGGGAGGGAAGTTTCTTAATTAGGAGAGTCCTGCCTGAAATCGCGTGAATAATGAATGCGTGAGTTTCAACTAAGTCCTTTGCTGAATATCATTAAGGACGTTCTTACTCGTTATGGTCTTCCTTTCAATGGCTGAGTATTTTTTTTGTTTTTACAAGCCTAAACTAATGAGCTTTCATTTTTAATTTTGGAAATACGCATTTTATGGAATTCTAGGGCGGTATCGTGATGGAGGATCACGTTATAATCAACGTTTTTGCCAATAAGACAATCAAATAATAGTTGTGATATTTGTACACTTGTCAATTTTTGGTTTGAAGGTCATTTTTTTAGGAAAATGATTTTAGATTAAGAACCTGGATCTTAATTTCTGCCCCAGTAGTACCATCACCTACGTGTTGCCTCATGTCTATCACTGTGCGTAGTTTTTTAAAGTTGCAAGCTCATTTTTCTGCATTTGCAGTTCGCGTCCTTAAATAAAACTTCACAATTTGGTTTTCCACTGAGTTGATAAAATTACTTCTACGCTGTAGCCATGTGGTGAATGTTGAAGCTAATCGGTACATTTACAGATTTTCTAATATAATTGATTAAAGCGGGCAAGAGGCCATTACACAAGCCAGCCAAAACGTCACCATAACCAAGGCTGCTTGTCACATACTCTGTTTCTGAACACTGATCAAGCCGTCGGTCGCCGAAACTGTCATTCACTGCATCTAATTTAAGTTGCTAGATTATTTTCTTAACCATCGCTTTGTAATGGATCATGGTCGATGGACAAAACATTGTACGCTCTATCCTATGCAAAGGAAGCATTGTAAGATTTCCTCAGAAGAATATATTCTGAGGCCTTAAATGAAAGACAAAATGCGACCCATTTGGTGGTTTAAATCTTAACAATTTTGATGAATTGGCCTTAAAGCATGCAGAATTATTTTTATTGACAAAGGTACATATATTTTACATTATCCTTATTATTAACTACTGCTATTAACAAGTTGGGTAACTCAACTTATCCGTGAAAAAGTGTAGATTGCTTAGTAAATTGTCCCAATCAAGCCAAATCTGCTATCTTTTAAGTACAGAGGGAAAAGCATTCCAGACATCTTATGATATGTGTTGTTTATTACGTCCAACTGTTTAAGAATTTTAGCAAATTATGGCATTTTTAAGTGTTTGATGCATTTATATCCTGCTTAAATCTTAACCTAGGGTGGAGAAGGTTTCATTTACAAACCATTACCCTATAAGTATGAATCTGCTGGATATTTTTTATTTACCGATTGAAGCCCCCTATTTATAAAAAGTTATATGGCGGACTACTTACTAGAAAATTCCCAATTTGATGAGGTATAAAGATGGTCGACTGTGTCAGAATTCATTGCATGTGTTGTAAACCACTCAAAAGTAGTGACCAATGATGTTAGAAGGCCATTTGGGAATACCGAGTCGGTGACTAGTCTGGCAGCCGGGATCAGGGTTATGCTAGCCCATGTTTCGACGCCACAGTGTCGGGACTGACTGACACGATAATCGGTCCCCTTCCTCTTTCTCGAACCACAGCTTTACTTACTCTCTTGACGCAAGCGACATTCGTGCTTCCACATTCACGCCGTTCTGTAGCGAGTACACAACCAATTTACGATGTGGACCACGCACGAACAAGTCCTCAGCACATTTTAGCGAAGTGAGTAAAAACTATCTGAAATACTTGAAGCCACTGGTTGCATAATGATGCGGGACGCTACATGGATAAATAAAAGGCGATCAATTCACAAGTACAGGGAGCATCTAATGGCAAGATCTAGACTTCTATAAAGTAATGATCCAACTAAATATATCATGAGAAATTATAAATGGATTGCTTTACTTACGAACACGCATTTTGGAAAATAAAAGTGGTAAAAAAATAACCTAAAAATTTTATTAATTGCTGCTTTTTTCACCCACAAACAACAACTGCCAGAAAATATGACGCAGTGCTGTGCTAAATAAGCTCAGCGCACATTTTAGTCTGATGGCACACAGACGGTGTGCTCCCATTTACGGCAGAAAGGCAGCTTGGGTCTGCGAAGGTGGTGTGAAGAGCGAGCGTAGTGTATACTGTTGGCAGGGAGGGGAGAAAAGAGGACCCAGTTTCAGCAGATGCGGAAGCAGGCCACTGAAGAAAAGGAGCTGCGTCAGCAGGCTCGTCATCGGTGTCAGGGAGAGTGGGCTGGGGGTCGGAGAAAGAGATGGTGGCGGGGTTGGGAAGGGAGCAAAAGTCGTCGCTACCTCTACCAACTTGCTGCTGAGGTTGATGGGCTCCGTCTGCGGCGGCGGGAGAAAAAACGGGTGTAGTGGTGGCACAGGAGGTGAAGGCGGATGAAAGCTTGGCCGCCTCAACTTTACCGGTGGGTGACGAAGGAGAGCGTCGGCGTGGCGTTTCTGTCCCACCAGACTTGGCGGTGCTGCCATATCGTTGACGAGATCGCATAGAATGGTGGAAAACTTGGTCTGCTCCAAATTCTTCCTCACTCGGTCACAGGTTTCAATCAGAAGAGCAAGTGGACTGGATTTTGTGGGATCCTCCTGAGCACAGCACAGATGATGGGTGGATTGATTCGTCTAGTGTACAATCTCGATGGTCAGTTGGAAAAACGATACTATTTTTTGTTAAAGAATCAAAACCAATATGGCAAATTGTTAGGAGGTGGGTGAAACAATCAATTTAATTAGCGAGGAATTCGAGAATTGAAAGCCCTCAGCGAATCACCAAAGGAGTGTACTTTTTAAATCGATTCCTGCCTTCGAGATGGCAAACTGAGTCATTACCAAGCTCCTCACGTCTTTGTGCTCTCCCACCCTATATTTCCGTACAATTAAATCATGGACAAATGATGTTTCGAGCAAAGTCAATTCAAAGTGGTCGGAGCCAAGATAGGCTTTTGAAAGCCGCTATAAGTATTTTTCGTTGAAAAAATGAGATGACGTCAAGGATTTCAATTGAACGTGAATTAATGCACTCGCTATTTATTATTAGCAGATCTAATGAAATTAAAATGAATTAGAGGATAAATTGAACTATATTTGACGGCCTGGCATGCTTAGTCAATTCAACCGATCAAACAATAATCAAGTAACAAAAACAACACTTTCTAACTTTAGCCATTTAAAAGCACATCAGTCTTGTTTAAATGTGAGAGTCACCGAAATTATTTAACTCTCAGTTTGTCAGAATTGTGTTCGTCGTGAATCCTTTTCAATCGCAAACGGGGTTTCAAGCGATTGGTAATTTATAAGCAACCTGATTTCATTAAGGCATTATTAACAAAACCATTAATTACCACTTAAAAAAATTTGACTAATAAAGGGAAGGCTGTCAAACGCGCCCATGTGTAGATGGATAAACTTCCAGGAGTACTCACCTTATCCAAACTGTCCGGATCAATGTAGTTATTACAAAACGTTTTGTCAATTTTAAGGAAAGAATTTTGGGCTGGGTTGCAAACAACGGCCTTTTCTAATGCCGAATTCATGATTGTGTGCTCGTATTGCTAATTTGTACAGGTTCATCAACAATGTCTCACCCTTTGCATAAACAGGTCTGGCTGTTGTCTGATTGGCTAACTTGCAGCTATGCGATGGGACACAGGCAGAAGACGATTGGACAGTAACTTGTGCGGTGCGCACGTGTGTGGATTGGGCGCTCTGTGCTCAGTAAGCGATGGGGTTACACCTGGGTTGTGAATGCTTGATTGGACAGTACTTTGGATTGTACTGTCCACACGCTATTCAAAATTTTAAGCCAAAACAGCAATACAATAGCTCCTCGTTATCTCACTATTCACAATTTGCGATCCATGAGGGCGCCTCTACAATGGAAGTGTTAGAGTATTCCCATAGAATTTACTCCTCAAACTATCATTTTCCATAAGAACGCCTTTGTTACTAGCTATAAGATTCCAGTATGAGCGGAACAAGCAAAAAAAAGCTCAGCCTTAGGATTACGACTATATCGTTTTTCATTGCCGTAGTGTTTGTATTATGCACTGGTAAGTCGGATACGAACTGACTTGTTTAGCCGCTATTATTTCACCTCTTAAGGCATCAAATTGTTTCCACTGTAGGGGTTTTGTGAGTTAGTTTGCTACGTTCTAACAAGGAGTAGGGTAAAATATTATAGATAATGCATTATGACGCCGACTTTCTAAATTTCAAATTCTAACGTCCCAGTACTAACAGTGAATTCTTATGAATAGCTTTAACCTTCAACCAAGGATAAAGCTCTATTGCAACCTTTTTAAAAGATGATTGCATTGTTTGCTTTTAATTCCTAACTTAAGAGGCGGAAATATTCATCGAAAGGACCGGAAAATGTAGAATATGCAAGTTATGGAATGTGGCGAAAATTTTTTCTTCTGAGTTTAAACCGTACATATAGTTATTTTTAACCAGTCGAAATAGCTCAATGAAACCAAATAATAAATTGACTCAATAGTATGGGATAAGCTTTCAGCAGAAGAGTTGTAAGAGTTGTTAGACAGAAGTGTGTTCAGTATCATACCGGTTAAAAGGTTCATTATGCATTCAACAATGGAGCAATTAGATTTAATAACAGCTAATAACGTGGACACTGAAATAAGATATCATATCGGGCTTGTTTGCATGTCTTATGTGGAACCGACCTCCCTCGCTACATTCCACTTCAAGCAATGCTTTTTTAACAATTCGTAATTCAACCAACCCACAAATATGATAATGGGTATTTCAAAGTGCTCAGTTCAAATTTCGACTTTCTTCTGAATCTTACAGCTATTGAAACTTTAGCAAACTCCTTGCAAAGATTGGTGATCACAGTTGGAAGCCTATTTCTCCATCATAAAATATTACTTATTGCTAATTATTAGCAGCCCTACAGGAGTACCTTCTTTTACTCATACACAAAGTCCTTTCCATTAGTTTTTAATAAGCTATTTTACTTTTTATTTAGTAGGATAGCATGCGACTTTTACCATATTTCTTTAACAAACTTGCACACTTTCCTGCTCCTACCTTAAGAATATGAATTAGCTTAGAGAATTTAACCCACTCATTAAGTTTTGTTAAGTAAAATTCTAGTACCTCTTGCAAACAGGCGTTTACATTAAGGCAATTGCTTTTGTACGTAGCAACAGTGTTTCTGGGACCTCTTTGCTCCAGGTTTATTCTCTTTTCATGAAAAAGTCAAAAAGGCAGTGAGTGGTATCACCAATCGAGTCACCCTGTGCGTGCATGCGCCGATTCAGATAACAGTGACAGCAACTGCCACCGCAACCACATTGTTTTTGTTCGGTTCAAACGCCCTACCCACTGTTTGCTTAACCCACTTTGCGCGGCATAACGACCATCCATTTTACACGGCGCGTTAGTGCGCCTGCAGGGGTGTGTGAGGGTATGTTGTGGATTTGCCCACGCGTCGAAGTAATTCAAATAACAAAATTACACAGACACAAGCACACCCAGAACCAGTGATTGTGTGCGTAACGCAAAACGGGCTGTAGATGAGAGATCTGGTTACAGTACCGCCCTCTTCTAACCAACAATGCTTAATCACCCCTTCTGTGGTGCGTCTGTTAGCATTTACAGTGAGACCTGCTTGGTGAATAACAACACCCTCCACACGTTTATTACATTGTGTTCACAAGTGTTCAAGCAGTAGTTTTATCGGAGTCTTGTTTTGGGAATTAGCTATTGCATCGATTATAACAAAAATCCAGATCCAAATTACAGGATAAGCAGGTTTGAAACCTAACAAACGTGATTTACATATTGTCAGAAATGAGGTTAACGTTTTTAGCCGATGAAGAATGGCATCATTTTCCAGTTTTCTGCGCCCAAATTATGTGAGTAGTGTACGCTCACAACTAATGGTAAAGTCCAACTGCGATATCTCCCATTAAAATAGTATAACTTATTTAAGTATTCCCTTTAGACGTGCTAGCGACTTATACGTCTGATTAGAACAACACATCGACAGCCACCAGTGTCAGCGTCAATACCATTGCCATTGTCAGCTTGCTTTCTGTCGGCAGCGCACACTTTGATCATCGTGCGGAGTTTTTTGCCGTTAACCCACTGGTCCTCTGCCCCATCTCACCTTCACTGCGCACACCGCCACCCGATAGACTCAGTCAAGCAGGGCCCACTGAGTCGCCTTTGAGGTGCATTGTATAGGTGTCCACCACAATCACTACCACAATGCCGTGAATTTGTGGTTGGTGGCCTAGGACCTGACCATTCTCACTTCTTCTCTCTATTGCATCACGTTTCTGTCATCTCTATCCGTTGCAATGAAAAGTAATGCGAGTATTACGGGTATTGCTCTACCTTTTTGGCTGAATGCAACCGCTATTCGATTTTGCCTAAAAGGCCTCTTTTAGCCATAAAAATTACTAAGAAATAGGTATGGAAACGAAAATACATAACCAAGAAATAAGACTTTT